AGGCGGCGCAAAGCTTGCCGATGGTCAGAGTCATTATAAAAATTAAACTGCAATATAAAACTAGGTGTAAGTGGAATTCTGTTTTAAGGCAATTAAGACATCGTGCCTTAAGGCAAATTGCTGGAACTTCCCGTACCAAAAATTATTATTTTTAAAAACGATTAACATTTTGAAAAAATTTTACTTCGAAAAAATAAGATTTTTGAGAAACTATAAATTGACAAAAAATTGCTTTTTTTTGACAAACAAAATAATTTTTTTTTAGTTTTTTTTTTAATTTTTTTTTTTTTAATTGTTTTTTTTTTTGAAAAGAATGTTTTCTTTATTTTGACATATTTTGTAAGATCTGAACTTTTTTCAAAGCCATCGTACTGCTATAATTGCATAGAGACAAAATATAAGCGCGTACGCCGCGTTGCTGTCTAACGTATAAGCATTGGTACGGACCCCATAGGAATGTAAACAAATTTATACTTATTGTTAAAATCTCTATAACATATCTGATAATTTGATGTGTCATATGTCTAATGATCATTTTTGACCGCCAAATGGCATTTTTTTTTTACTTTTTTCGTTAGATCTCCGAAACAGCTAGAACGGCCCTTATGAAAATTTGATCAATTCTTCATCTTGTCAATACAAGTAAAATGTTTTTTGAATTATTAAAATCGGACGCTCCGTTCTCTTAAGAACTGAGGTACCGTTTTTGGCACTTTTTTCCCATATCTTCGGAACGGCTAGACCTGCCTCCTCCAAAAACTAATCAGTTCGTCTCCTTATCAATACGAATCGAATGTTTTTTGAATTATTCAAATTACTTCATCCGTGTTCCCCAAATCGTCGACGAAAATTTGTATCCGCACGCACATACATATACGCACACACACACACACACACACACACACATACATCAATTTTTTCTAAGATATGCCAAAATATTCAGAAACATCTGAAACGTAAAGATATATAAAAAATTTCATTTTCGATTTTTTTGCGATTACTATAACTTACCCTACGGGAAGTTAACACTTCGACTCGGGAGTCGGACTGCCAGTCGGTACGCTGCGCTCGGAATATTATAGTGCTATACTTATCTCTCAACTCGGAATTTTTTTTGTATCGGATTTGTCAAAAGTGTGGTTATATTGCTTTTAAATATAGTTATTATGATAATAAAATAGAAAATTTTAAAATTAAAAAAAAATGCACTCAAAACCATGCTATATTGTTTAAAAAATCATTTATTCACAGATCTTTATTAGAATTATGGGGATCATGAGCTAATAAATTAAGTTTGTTATATATTATTTATAAATTAATAATCAATCAATAAATGAATGGAATAGTAAATTAATTTTTAAAAAATAAAAATCGGCGGCATCCGAGCTTAACGGTAAAACATATCATGCCGCCGGAGCGGCGGCATCCGAGCGCAACGGTAAAATGACTATGCCGCCGGAGCGGCGGCATCCGAGTCGAAAGGGTTAATTATAGGATTAAGCACAATTTTATAAACCAAAACTTTATTTAATTATTCATTATATTACTGACGTGAAATTTTCAAATAACTTGATTCAATCACCTTTGATTAAAACTATTTAGACTTATAATATTTATATATTTCAAAAGATTTGTATGTTGCAAGATTCCAAATGCAAACAACTCTGCGAGCATTTAGATTCGTGTTGAGTGTGAAATCATTTTGTTGTATATGTAGAATTTAATATTTAATTAAAACAAACAGATAAACCGTGATAGCAGTATACTCAGCGTTATTAATAAACTATTCCGTAGGATTCTAATAATTCTCGGTTTATGTGTAAGTTCAATCATACTTAAACTTACTTTTTCAAAACTTTCAAATTGGCTTATTTGTTGCAAATTAAAATTATCTCTTGTTAATAAGCTTCCAGTTCATAAGACCATAATTAAAGATCTATGGACTTGTGGAATCCAACTATGGAGATGTTGTAGTAAATCAAACATGGGATTTAATTATTTTAAGTAAACCAAAACTCTACGGACGATTAGCAACGAAATCATACTTGATGACCTCAACATCCCTTTTGTAGTGTATGTCAAAATTTACCGTTACCCTAATCATGCATCTCATTCTGTTTATAAGAAGATTTCACAATAAACTATCCTTAATGTAACTGTATCTTATATGAAAAAAATCTATTCCATAGTAATTTGCATATTGGGGCAAATACATACTACCATTTGTTCTATCAATATTTTTTTTTGTGACTTTTTTTTTACTTGTTTTTTTTTTTGTTTGTTTCTTTCTTCAATTTTTTTAGGTGTAATTTATCCCTATAAGTTATAGAGTTCTGTCAATAACTCTGATTTTTGTTTTTAATTTCCCGTAGGGTAAGTTATAGTGATCGCAAAAAAATCGAAAATGAAATTTTTTATATATCTTTACATTTCAGAGGTTTCTGAATATTTTGGCATACCTTAGAAAAAATGAATGTATGTGTGTGTGTATGTGTGTTCGGATACAAATTTTTGGGAACACGGATGAAGCGATTTGAATAATTCAAAAACATTCTATTCGTATTGATAAGGAGGCGTGCTGATTAGTTTTTGGCGTAGGCAGGTCTAGCCGTTCCGAAAATATGGGGCAAAAAGTGCCAAAAACGGTAAATCAGTTTTTAAGAGAACGGAGCGTCCGATTTGAATAATTCAAAAAACATTTTACTTGTATTAACAAGATCAAGAACTGATCAAATTTTCATGAAGGCAGATCTAGCGGTTTCGGAGATCTAGTAAAAAAAGTAAAAAAAAAAATGCCATCTTGCGGTCATAAATGATCATTAGACATATGCACATCAAATTATCAGATATTTTATAGAGATTTTAACAATAAGTATAAATTTTGTTTACATTCCTATGGATTCGGTACCAATGCTTATTCGTTAGACGGCGGCGCGGCGCTTACGCGCTTCGATATTTCGTCTCTATGCAGTTAAGCAGTACGATTGCTTTAAAAAGAAGTTCAGAATTTCCAAAATATTTCAAAATACACTTTTCTTCAAAAAGTCTTTTTTCAAAAAAAAAAGAAAAGTTTTGACAAAAGTTTATAGTTTCTCAAAAATCTAATTTTTCAGAGTAAATTTTTTCCAAAAATGTTAATATTTAAAAAAAAAAAAAAAATTGGTACGCGAAATACCGGCTTTTTGCCTTAGGCACGATGCCATGCGCTCATTTGATATTGAAACGAAGTAAGTTTTCAGCATGATTCCAAAACTCCACCTAACTAGCTGTAAGTGGAATTCTATCTTAAGGCAATTAGGGCATCGTGCCTTAAGGCAAATTGCTGGAACTTCCCGTACCAAAAATTTTATTTTTTAAAAACGATTAACATTTTTGAAAAAAATTTACTTATAAAAAAATAGATTTTTGAGAAACTATAAAATTGACAAAAAATTACTTTTTTTTGAAAAAAAAAATTTTTATTTGAAAAAAAAAAATTTTTTTTTAGAACAAAAAAATTTTTTTTAAAAAAATGTTTTCTTCATTTTGACATATTTTGGAAATTTTGAACTTTTATTCAAAGCAATCGCACTGCTTGAACTGCATAGAGACGAAATGTCAAAGCTCGCAAGTGCCGCGCCGCCGTCTAACGCATAAGCATTGGTACGGAACCCATAGAAATGTAAAAAAAAATTATACTTATTGTTAAAATCTCTATAAAATATCTGATAATTTGATGTGCATGTGTCTAATGATCATTTTTAACCGCCCAATGGCATTTTTTTTTACTTTTTTCCTTAGATCTCCGAAACCGCTAGACCTGCCTTCATGAAAATTTGATCAATTCTACATCTTGTCAATACAAGTAAATTGTTTTCTGAATTATTCAAATCGGACGCTCCGTTCTCTTAAAAATGGAGGTACCGTTTTTGGCACTTTTTGCCCCGTATCTTTGGAACGGCTAGACCTGCCTTCGCCAAAAACTAATCAGCACGTCTCCTTGTCAATACGAATCGAATGTTTTTTGAATTATTCAAATCGGTTGATCCGTGTTCCCGAAATCGTCGACGAAAATTTGTATCCGCACATACATACACCACGTACATACATACATCATACATACATACATACATACACACACACACCACACACACACACATACATCCATTTTTTCTAAGGTATGCCAAAATGTTCAGAAACCTCTAAAAACGTAAAGATATAAAAATTTTCATTTTCGATTTTTTTGCGATTACTATAACTTGCCCTACGGGAAGTTAAAATATATGATCGGCACAATCTTTAAATGTCCAATTTCGTTCGTCATGCTACTGAGCATGATTTTACTAAGCAAATGCTTTTCTTTCAGATGACACAACAAATTAAAAGATAATTGAAGACTTTATGAAAAAAGCCCTTACGTTCGAAATATTCTTCAGTACCTTAAAATTAGATACTTATTAGAGACTATTTGTAATCAATATATACAACTTGCATGTCCTCTGTCAGACGGTAAAATGATGCCTTGCACTGAACTAATTTTGCTTTATTATTGTAAGATAACATTTGATTTGTGATGACAACTGGAACAAGTCAGAGGGCAAATATAGCAGACGTTATTTTTATGAAATTGGTATTCTAATAATGACAAACGACGGATATAAACTAATCAAACGACTTCTTTTATCAATTGTATTGTCTTTCAGTAGTAAAAACTAGTTAAATATCAATCATTATCTGCCTGTTTGTTAAACAACAATGAAATATAAAAGTGCGTTAGGAAATTTACATAACGAACGTATCTGATACGAATTTACATAACGAAGTTAAATTAAATTATTTTTAAGGCTTAATGGTTCATCAATAAATAACTAATCTATATTTTTAATATGTTTAATTGTCAAATTAAATATTTTAACATCGAATCGCGAAGAAACGGCTCGGCCGATCTTTACCTAGACTAGGCAATTTTGACAAGAAATCAAAGCACTTAGCCATTTTTTGAGTGCATTTAGTAAAAAATTTGTTACACACTTTTGAATTTGCAGTAAGATTACGTTGACATACATGTCATACTACTAGTCAAACTGGAAAACAATGTATTTTAAATCTTATCTCAAACTGCGTTATTTATCAATACATAAAATAATCAAACAAAACACGTTTTCTAGTAAAGTCATGGAATCAGTTGAATGCAAAGCCATTGAGATATATGCTACCAATCATAATCATGCCTATAAAAAAGAATTTATAAACCATGACAAATGGTGATAGATAAAAGCTAATAGTATTTGTTCATTGTTAATTAAGAAACAAATTTTAGTTAATCCTATATGATATTTAACTACATTTCAAATATAAAATTTGGGAAAATATTATCTTGTAACAGTACTCTAGTATTAGCTTTGTTTAACGTTCTCTAAATTAAATAAAAATAAAACTAGTGGTGTATGGCATCGTGCTGAAGGCGAATTGCTGGAACTTCCCGTACCGTAACGAAATGATCCAGGAATATTCAGTGTTTTCAAATAGATATTTAAAATATTGAAACATTGTTAATATTTATAAGAATTATATAACTGAATTGCAAAGTTGAAGTTATTTATTTAAAGTATATTAAAACAGAATGAATATTAAAATCTGAATTATTTTCGATATACAAAAAAAAAACTTAAAAAAACATTTTTTTTTCAAAAGCAATTATTTTGTTGAAACAAGCAGTAAGTTCTCTGAATAATTCAAATTGGACGCTTAGTTCTCTCAAAAACTGTCATTTTTTTGCACATTTAGCTTTTTATCTTCGAAATGGCTGGACCTGCCTTTGCTAAAAACTAATCACGTCTTCTCCCAATCATTACAAATTGAATGCTTTTTGGATTATTCAATCGGATACTCCGTTCTCTCAAAAACACGATTTGTATTTTTCTCACTCTTTGCTTTGTTTCTCTGTAACAATTGGACCTGCCTTCGCCAAAAACTAATCAGCACATCTTCCTATGAATAGGAATCGAATGTTTTTTTAACCATTCAAATCGATTGATCCGTGCGCCCGAAAACGTAGACGAAAAAATGCGGACATACAAACACACACACACATATCCATTTTTTCTGAGGTATGCCAAACTGTTCAGAAACCTTCAAAACGTCAAGAAATGCAAAAATTTTCATTTTCGATTTGCGGCCTATAACTACCCAATGGAAAGTTTTAATTATATTAAGTTTATTGCAATGAATCAAAAAAATGGATATTGGAAATAGTAAACTAGTAATATTTATAATATTGTTATACATAATTCACAAACCAAACCTTAATTAACGAAAGAGACAACTAAATATTTCAAGACTAAATTCGTTTCTTCACTTTTACATAATGTTAGATAATAAATAAAATAAATTGTTTATAATATAAATCAGTTCATATCAGAAGAAATATGATTGAAATTATGGTTGAAAAATTGATTCAATGTACTTGATACAATTTGATAATTCGATATTAATTAGCTTAATCCAATATTATCTATTTGAATCCTATCCATTATGAAATAATAAATCAACGATCACATTAGGAAGTAGGGAAAATACGGGCGAAATGACATATATATCGACAAAGATGACATAGTGGCCTTACTTAAAAGTTAGCTAGTTTTATTCACATTTATTTTTTTATATAAAATGAATAAAATTGTGGAAAAAAATGTACAGAAATCTGACAATATAATCCAAATGAAAATGATAAAAATAAATTATTATATTTATTATACAACAAAATATTGAAAATGTTACAATAATTAGAAAGTGAAATGAAAAAACAGAATTAATTACCTGTATGATTGATTATACACTAACACTTTTTCACTAAAGAAGATTTTATCAAAAAAATCACTTTTTTTGATAAAATCTTTTTTGTATAATTAATCATACAGGTAATTAATTCTGTTTTTTCAGTAACCTTTTCTTAAAACTTTCTATTTTTTTTAATATTTTGTTATATAATCCACTCATTTATTTTTATCATTTTCATTTTGATTATATTGTCATATTTCTATACATTATTTTTTCCCCGATTTTATTTATTTTACATTAAAAAAATCAATCATCTTCTGGTTTTCTTGAACATATTACTTGCTTAAATCTTATCAAGATCATGTTTCTTGACAGATGTCCTGAAGATGGAATGTACCTAGTTCCGAAACGTCGACAGTAAATAAATGATTTTTTAAAAAACTTTTTTTTTATTACTCTTTGGATTTTTGTTCGAAGTTCTGCAATATATATATATATATATATATATATATATATATATATATATATATATATATATATTTGAATAGTCTTGAATTTGATGTTGATATATATGTTAAACTCAAATTATACATATATATATATATATATATATATATATATATATATATATATATATGAATTTTTTGGTACCTGTAGTTTGCTGCATGTGACGATCAGCAACGCGACGTCTTATCAGTTTACAAACATTTTTTATATAATCTAATAATATTTAACAATGAGATAAACACAATGCTCAGCTGTCTCAACATTTCGTTTTCAACACATTGATTAAAATGTTACAAGGTACCAGTTAATTTTCTGGCAACTTTGAACAAATTATTAGCAGTATTATAATACGGTTAAAATTCAAAACTAAGTACGGCGCATTTGTTAATTATATCTTTCCCAACAGATGTGATATCATAATACAAATAATTGAAATTTTACCACAAATACCAACCTAATCAATTGCATCTGATAATTGATTGAAACAATCTTATCAGTGCAATAAGAAATTTTTAATTTACGTTAAAAACAAGCATGAAGAGTTGATTAGATTTTATTCTATTAAATTAAATATTGATTGTTTTGATAGTAAGGGAAAATTACTTGTCCTGTTGCAATTACAATCTTAATTAGATTTAAAACTGAAGTCTTCGTAGATTACGTAATTTATATATATATCAGTTTTTTTTGAAAATGCTATATATAAACTACTGAATATTTTCTCAATTTAAATCTTTTCTATTTGAAAGTGCAATCCTTCTGGTTAATAAACGAAAATAATTTCATTGAAATGGCTGTCTAACTTTTTAATAGCTGTTAAAAATTCTAAATTGCTACCAATAAAAAAAAGTTATATGGCGGACCCTTTATATATTCATATAATTTATCATATTGATGTTACTATAGTAAATAAATTGGGAAACTATTAAAACATCAGGGTTATTTCTAATTGAAACCCCTTTTTAATTTTCCATAGCGTAAGTTATAATAATAGCAATAAAATCGAAAAATAAATATTATATATATATATATATATATATATATATCTTTACGTTTCTGAGCATTTTGGCATACATTAGAAAAAATGTATGTGTGCGTGTCGATGTGAGTATGCATATTTGGTTACAATTTTTCGTCCACGATTTCGGACGCACGGATCAACAAATTTGAATGAGTGAAAAAAAACATTCTATTCATATAGACGAGAAGACGTGCTGATTAGTTTTTGGCCAAGGCAGGTCTAGCGGTTTCGAATATACGGAGCAAAAAGTGTCAAAAACGAGAATTCAGTATTTGAAAGAACAAAACGTACGATTTGAATTATAACTCTTTAACTTATTATTAAAATAGAATCAACAGATTTATCAAAACACTACAAATTAAAGGGTGTTTATAAATTATAGCCAAACCAAAAATTAATCTAGAAATTTTAATTTCTTTAGGATTAGAGAAAAGTTAGGAATTGAGAAAAGTTCTTTAAATAACCTGAATATACTATTGCCAAAATAAGATGACAAAATAATATATTAATTAATAAAAAATGTAACTAAAACTAAATTTATGCAAAATATTAAATACATTAAATTGCATTCATGTTAAAAATTGTATTGAAATGTTTGTATCATAACAAGTTTACTTTAATATAAAATATGTAATATTCCAATTTAAATAATATAATAATAATTTTATAATTATTAATTATATACATTTTCATTTATAAGTTTTTTTATACATTAAAATGAAAAGTTTTGTTTAGAAGTTTTTTGGAAAAAGCAAAATTAAATTCAAGAAGTTATTAAATACTATGACTTTTTCATAACACATTATTAAGGGGTCACACCACTGTAGCAGTAAAAAAACGTATGATTTTTCCATTTTTTTCGGATGAAAGGAAAAGTATTATAATCATGATATTAAAGATATTTATTTTACTTTAAAGTAACAAAATAAAATATAATCGTAAAAAAAATTAAAAAAGGCGGCACCACAGCCATTTCGGCGAGCCGAAACGGTACGGGAAGTTCCAGCAATTTGCCTTAAGGCACGATGCCATACACCACTAGCTTTATCATAAAAATCATAAATATTTTATCTTTTTTTTTATTAAAACCAAAATTATATACTATAGCAATAAACTAAAAGACCAATGAATATTTTCTGTAATGCGAGGATGCGAGTCAGTTACACAAACGTCAAAATTAAATTAGGTAGTATAAATATAAAAATAAATTCAATATTTTTTGATAAATTTTATATGTATATATATATATATAATCAGTAAAATAGTTAGAAAATGACACTTACCAAGATAAATATTCAGTCACTCTTCAAATTCACTTATCTACGGCAGGTTTAGAAATTAGTGTGTCTCACATTTTATTGGAAGTATTTACGGCACTATCAAAATATAAAACGTTCAAATTATATATTACACTATTTTAACATAATACAAATAAAATTATTGGCGTGTGTAGGTATATGACGCCACACGTGATAAAACAAAGTTGAGTATGAATTTTGATGGAGCACTTGTCAACTACTGAACGCGGCCACCTGCGACCGACTGAGCAGCAAGTGGCAATTATTTACATGTGGCAGCACTGTAGATAAAAAAAAAATAGCGCGATATTTGAAATTGAATTTTTTTAAATGACATATAGCACTCCAGGTCAAATGACACATTTAAATTGTACAATGGTTTTTTATTAGAGCTAAAGTTTTAATAAGCCACAGGAAAACTCTCAGCCCAATTTTGGCCAAAATATAATTTCAATAAATAATGAATTAAATGATTTAAAAACTATACATTTCGCACTAATAACAATAATGGCATATTTTTTTATAATAGAGATAAATATTTATTTTTATCAAAAAAACCATAATGAATTTGTGAAAATCAATATATAGTATACCAAAGTGAAAAGGTGAAAAACCTTTTTACCATCAGAGGCTGCACTTAAATTAGGCAGCATAAGAGAAGCCGCATAAGCTGATTGACCTGGAGAAAGTGACTTATGATAAGTTGTCTTAACTTATCTTAACTTAACTTTGTCTTAACTGTCTTTGGTAAAATTTTTCGCAAAACTATCATGATGTTGATGTGCAATAGTTGTTTGAAATTTGAAACATTACCAATTTGTACTATGTGGCAAAGGACCGCACAATAACCTCGCGGAGGCCGCAGGTTTCACACCTATGGTATATACCAGGGGTCGGCAAGCTTTTAACTGTAGTGTGCCAAGCCACTCTACCAATATGATTTAGAGTGCCACCTTAATTTTGAAATATATAGTTAGGTTCTAGGGGAGAAGAATTATAACCAAATTTATCTTTTAAACATTTTTATTAACAAATAACATGAATTTCTAATATAAACAGTGCTGGGATACCCCATAGGCCCGTTAGGCCCGGGCCTGGGGCGGCATAATTTAGGGGGCGGCAAGTTTTTCAAAATGTAAATATTTTAAACTCGATGAAATGACACGACAATTCATTTTAAGGATAGATCCTGAAATTTTTTTTTGTAAATTTAGAGATCATTTTCGATGAAATAGAACGTAATACGTTTTCTAATCAAATTTATTATTCGTGGGTGCCGCATTGATATTTTCTTGATGTATCATATTTAATATAATAATTATCAAACTGATAAGATTTTTTGAAGAAATATTGAAAAACTGTTCGTTTTTATGTAATTTTGTTCAGGTGAATCTTATAATTAAAACGCTTTAAAAACTGTTCGATTGTTTCTAGTTTTATTTTCGGTATTAAATCAACCAATGGCGAATTAACACAATATATTCATTGTTGTTAATTGATTTATGCCATTTTTTTTGTATGTGAAAATATATTTTTTAAATATGTCTGTAGTATAAAATTAAATCTTAAACTAAAATATCTGACAATTTGGTATGCTTTCTCCAATTGGCTTTTTTTTCAACTTCAGGAAGGCTAAGTTATAATAATCCTAAAAAATCATAAATAAAATTGTTTATATAACTCTACGCTTCAAGTTCTCCTGAACATTTTGACATGCCTTAGAAAAATGGATGTATGCATGTGTTTATGCGGTTACAATTTTTTGCCAATTGGCATTCGGGAAGACGTGCTGATTAGTTTTTTGCAAAGACAGTTCCATCCATTTCGGAATAGGAAGCAAAGAGTGAAAAAAGTGCTAATTCAATTTTTCAAAAACGGAGCGTCCTATTTGAATAATTCAAGACACTTTTTACTTGTATGACGAAATAAGAACTATCGAAAATTTTACGAGAGCATGGTCAGCGTTTTTGGTGACCCAAAAAGGTGTCATTTGGTGATAAAAAATGATCATTGACATCAAATTATTAGATTTTTTAAAAAAATTATTAATTATTACAAATTTTGTCTTCATTTTTGAATCATTCCGTACCAAGATTTTTAATTTTCAAAGTTTACTTCTTAGATAGTTTAATTGTCCTTTGCAAGGATCAATCACCATGAATGATTAAAAAATATTCACTGGCTTTGACTGAGAGGCGTACTGTTTATGCCAAAGGCAGGTTTAGCATTTTTGGAGATACAGAGCGCAGAAGGTGCAAAAGTAGTCATGAAGGTTTTGAGAGTACAGATCATCCGATTGGAATGACTCAAAAAATATTTTGTTCGTGGTATTTTAGTGATATGAAGAAATGATTAGTTTTCCGAAACGGCAAGTCCACTGGTTTCAAAATTTTGAGAAAATTAAAATATCTAAAATTTTCAAATAATTGAATTACTTTAGAATTTAAAAAAAACTCGAAATTTTTGAATATCTCGGTTCTATTTATCAAGTTTAGTCAATGTCTTTTTAATTTGTGAAATCAGTTCAGGCGTTTTTTGAAAATTAAATTTTGATTATCACATCACAAAAGCGCCTTTTAACACAAATTTTGATTATGAAGTTTTATCAAACTTTGATGAATTTTTAAAATAGTCAATATTTTTGACTCCTAATTTGATATCTTTCAGAAATCTTTTTTCAATTTTAAAAATCGGTTTCTGGCTTTATTCCAAAAACGTAATATTTTTGCTTTTTTATGCTAATTTCAAACAACCGGCTCGTCCGATCGTCCCGCAAACCTAATCTGTCCGGCAGGTTTTTACCAAAAATTAATGAATACGATTTCCAACCAAGATT